AACTCCCTATATAAAAAGATTATTGGGTGGGGGGGTGGGTATTTGGGCCAGAGTCTAGCTCAGCAATTCACAACCAGGGTGCTGTGACACCCCAGGTTGCTTCTAGATTCTTTGAAAGGTGCCACAAAGTATGAGAAGATAAGCCGATAAGCATAGGCTCAGGTGTGTTCCTGCCTGGCCAGTCTCCCACTTCACGCTTTCCAGCCTTTCTACAAAGAGGTAAGCACTGTAATATATAAAATTAGTTTTTGAAATTGGATGCTACTGAATTCATAAAAGTTATGAAGAGGTGCTTCGAGTCTGGTGAGGGATGCCTCAAGTCCAAAAAAAGGATAAGAACCACTAGTCTAGCTGCTACATGTGTACTGGTGTTGTACTAGACCAGGGGTTAGCAACCTATGGCCTGGGGGCTGCATTCAGCCCGCAGACTCTTTGGATCTGGCCTGCAGATGTATGACTTTGGTGCTGGGCCGGGTGGGGGTGCGGTGCTCTGTCAAGCAGGTATCTGCCTGGGGCTCTGGTGGAGGGAGAGCTCTCTCTCTGCTGTACAGTGCAGTCAGACAGATTAGATTTTGTGATGAAAAGATAAAGGAACACAGTCCGCTGCCCAACAGGATAGAGCAGCCTAAAACTGCATGCTCTGACTTTTAAAATAATTGCGTTTAAAGGGCGGTAGAACAGAGGTGCTGACTGACTGCCTAGGAAACGGTGAAAGTGACTTGGTATAGTAAAGTACTCTCAGATGTCTAAAGTCAGCAGACTAAAAGGTGAGATAAATGTTTGCTAGCTAACGTACTAGTTAAAGCATTCTTCAGAGGTGTAGCTACACTTGTTTCAAAATATTTGGACAAATTGATTCTCTCTCTTCTGCCTACTCCCCCCCTCCAATATGACACTTTCTCTTGAGGTTGTCAGGAAATAAGTCATTCAGATAATGTTTGTGTTCATGAATTAAACATATATAAAGCACTTACATGTTTAGTGCTCATGTCTTTCTCCTTTTTTTCATGCAATTTTGCATTTGGAGGTCTTGCTGTTAATGTTCATTGGGGGCCTCTCCTTTTTTAAGTTTAAAAAGAAAAAAACAAAAAACTAAATATGGATGGATCACTTGCAAAATAAAATCCACAAGACAAGATATTGTTCGTTCCATTTTTATACTGTTTGGAATTGGACTGATTTTGCTCTTAGTATATGCCATTTGGGACAGAGGTTTTACTTGTTCATCAAGAAAGGCACAGCATAGATGTAAAAAAATAAGCATCTCTGGTAAAATAGGTATCTTAATCTTACTAAAATGTGAAATAAGATGACATTTATTTTTTGGTGGGTTTATGTAGATTGTATAGTGATTTACAGAGATAGGAACTGCACTTGAGCAACATTTAAGCCTGTACAGTGTGTTCTTAATATTAATAAGCACTGGGCGTGCAGGCAGACCAGAGAATAGACTGACAGGGTAAACATTGTAAAGAAGTCATTTCAGTTCAGCCCCTCTTCAGACTGTCTGCACGAACATAATGCAAGAGCCTTTCCAGTTATGTTTGGAATACATGCACAAATCATTACCTTTCTATTATGTTTTGTCTATTGTTGGTCATTGAGTTATAGACATTATAAACAAATAGATTAATTTAAAAAGTGTTGCTATTAGAATATATCTGTCATGCAAGGAAATCTGTGTGTAAGGGTGCTAATCCAGGGAATGTTCCCCTGTATTATATTTTGACCCAGCATGCATCTTGCTTGCAATTCCTTCCTGTTTCCCAGTAGTTTACTTGCAACTTGGAGTGCTTAAATAAATCCCAGAAAGGAGAATGCCATTTATGTCTTGTGGATAGAATCTCCTTTGGTTTTTCAGGCCCATCCCCTTCTCTCTTGGGGTTTCAGATATCATCTGTTTTTTCAAGTTTTAGGGGCATTTTTATACATAGGCAAAATGTGCATCAGTGCACAGAAAATGGCAGTGGTCCACTTCTGAACTATAACATACTGAAGGCATTTTAGTTCAAAAGCGCACTGCTGCCATTTTCTCTGCGCTGATGCGCATTTTGCTGCTAATACAACTGCAAGTGACACAGCACAATGCACATCAGCTGACATACGGAGCAGGCTTGATTAATCGATTCTGCTCTGATGCACCGGTGATCCGGTGCATCGCAACATGAAAAAGTGTGTGTACAAATGCCCTAGGTTCCTGTTTCCCCTTCTAGGTACTTCTGAGCCAGGGAGCTCTGGTAGTCACATTGCAGCCCTTGATCTCTGGGGAAGTTTACAGCAGGTCTCCAGCCCTGGTCTCTGGACTTGCATAACTTTCTTCCCCGGGTAAGCCCTTCATGGAACCGAAAAGACTCTGAGGTACCCAGGGGAATAAACTTCCACCCTCTATCTCCCCTGTGCAAAATGAAGTTTCTTTTCTACCTGGGAGAATTTTTACAATCTTTGAATTGTTCTCCGGCTGGCAAAGGGCGTGTGCACCCAGAAACTTGCAAAGACAGATGTTTTTTTGCTACTATTCTGTTGGTCTGATAAAAGATATTGCCTCTGACCCAAGAGCTTTGTTTATCTCTCTTTCTCAGACTAACACGGCTATAACCTAGATTCCCTTCATGGAGCTGTGCACTCCTCCTCCTGGGTTAGCACAGTTGTCACTCATGGAGCTGTGCCGTGTATCATTTCTTAACAAACACAGGCTATATTAATCAACTTCTCTCTTTCAGTAGTAAAGGTTGCCCCAGACTCGAGCATTATGAACAGGTTTGCTCCAAATAAACCTGCTGTTTCCCAGCCAGTGAGATCTACGTGAGCAATTTGAAATCATTGGGGTTTTGCTGTGGCGTGAGGAGCTATTTACAAGGGTTCAGTTGCAGAATAGTGGCCATATATCTTTCATTACCGTGTCAGTAATGTACTTGCTGGAGGTTTTTAGGTTGTTTTCTTTATACATGTACATAGTAGTGATGCTTTACTACTTTTTGATTACTTAAGTAAGGAGGAAAGCATGATTCATTTTATGCCATAAATGTGCTTATGAATAGAGAGATATTTGAAGCACAGTAGAAATGTATTAATCTGTATGCTA